CTCGCTCACTCTCACTGTCTCACTGTCTCACTGTCTCTCTCTCATCTCTCTCATCTCTCTCATCTCTCTCATCTCTCTCATCTCTTTCTCATCTCTCTCATCTCTCTCTCCTCTCTGTCTCTCGTCTTTCCGTCTCTCTTCTCTCTCTTCTCTCGCAGGAGGATCCGGGCAAAGAGCCACATATAAAGGACTCTTCACCCCTGCCTCCAAAAAGAGCGCCGTGTTTTTTCCTACCTCGCTGCCCTCCACTTTCCCATTCTGGAGCGCTAGCTTTCGCCCCCCCCCCTTGGCCTCAAGTCATATCAAGATAATTGCGCCATGCCCTGACAGTTTCCCAGGCTCAACTGCAGTGCTTGCAACAGTGACACAAGCATTTTCCTTGCGACATATTGAACCTCGGCATTTGCAGTGTAGAACAAGATGTGCTTCGAAAGAATGCACTGACATGAATTCCTCAATTGACTTTATATGTTTGACAGGCAGCATGCCAGATACTCCGGCTGCTTTACTCACACAGATGTCGGCGGAAGTCGATGGGAGCATGCTGGAGATAGGGTGTCCTCCTTAACGCAAGAACACTTCCTGCACGGTTCAACAGAATGCGAATCATGAGTCGTTCCGCTTGTTTCTCAGAGGCATGCGTACACGGTGTGCATCGATCTTGGTGCGAACTACACTGCAGGCAGTTCAGGCTTTGTGGCCTATGTTTCAGGTGGGAGTTTATGAATGAAACAATGCGGAAAAAATAGGATATTAAGAAAAAAAGTGCACACAAAGAAACCTCCACCTGCTGGAGGTGTGACATCAGCGGATCCTTTTGTATACCCAACAAGCCAGCACAGCTTCACTTTGATTTGCGATGGCTGCAGCGACACGACACAGATATTTCTTGGAACTGAAGAGTGCCAGGCACATTTTGAAACTTAGCTAGTAGAAACAGGTGCCTTACTACTAGGAGCAAGAAGCTACTAGGAACAAGTGCCACGCTAGTAGACTTAAGATGTTGTGCTTTTCTGTCAAGAAGGTCCGTCCAAAATCTGCAGGTGCTGTGGAGTCCTCGAGCTATACTTGCCACTGCAGGTATCTTGAAAAGCGCACGTTGTGTTTCTAAAGATAACTGGAGCTTTTGAATCAAAGTTGTATCTAAAGATGTTGTTGGTTTCCTAAATGTTCTATTTTCTCACTGTGACATCGATGAACATTGTGTCACTTCAAGGTGTCCTGGATTGGACATCCTATTTGGATGCCACAGCTTTGCAAGTTGGGATGTACTACCAGCTGTGCGTTGATCTCGACGGAGAAGCAAGTCTTGCACTCTAATGCGGAGAACGTGGGAATATGAAAAATCAATGTAAAGCAAATAAGAAACACGTGTTTTGCTACTAGGAACAAGGACGCTACTGGGGGCTCCTGGCCTTACTACTAGGAGCAAGGACGCTACTAGTCTTTGCATATCGTACCCTTTTCCGAGAGTCGATCTGCCTGAGGAGAATCAAACTTTGCAGGGAGGCCCTACCGGGTTGGATGTCTTTGTTTCTGCAGTACTGGAGTCCCGGTCCAACTTGAAAGTCTGTCGCCAAAGGTTTCAACCAAACATAGTGCGTTTGACGAACTATTTATTCCAGGCAAGCATTGACTTTTGATTGAATCGTGACAGTCTTCCTGGCCTTTTCTCCACAGTTTTTGGATGTTTCACATCTGGGCATCACATCATCAATGTGGTTTGCCATTAACAACACAACATAGCCTAGCTGTCAATCAATCCCTTCTCGGCATTTGGAGCCTCAGCTAGCTGAGTGTTCCGGTTGTAAACTCAACCTGACCTGCGCATTTGCTTGCGAGGTTTCCTTAGAGTTCTAGCCAAACTTGCAGGAAGAAACTTGAACAGCAGACACTTTCTTAGTCTGACTTCACCAAGGATTACGAGCGCCCGATTGACGGGGTATTTCGCGCAAATCTTGCACAGAAAATCAGGTCACGTTCTCATGATTCACGCTGGCACTGGCAGATAAAAACTGCCAATCAATTTTTTGAGGCTTTGCGCCAACAACCTTGTGAAATGCGGTGCAAGTCGTTTGCAGTTTAGATATTTTGACTGAGGCTCATGTGTTCCAGTTGCAGCCGTGCTGCCGAAGCTTTCTTGGGGGAGAGCTGCAGAATGTAATTTTGGTTGCAGCAAGATCTCCTATGCAAGACCTCTTTTCGCCATGTTTTTCGTTCCATTGTTTTTTGTTTCTACAGTTTTCAGTGGTTTCAGGTTTGGAGAAAACACGACAGCGTCAGCACCAGCCACCCTTTCACCAAGAGCAGTATTTCAATTCGATGGAGTGATCTGGACTGTCAGATGAAATGATGTCAAGTTCATTCAAGATGATCAATGCAGTTAAAATTTGACCAGGATTTAGCGACCTCACAAGATCTCAAGTTGAAGTTGGGGATTTGATCCAAGAAGTCTGTGAATGTTGTTTATGTTTGCATTGTGCCGACATTTTAATGCAAAACAAAAACCAGACATGGAATGCATTTGTGCTGTTGTCAGGAGTGTGGAGATTGATGCCAGTGATCTTCATCCAGGGGGTCGGTATCGCTTGTGCATTGATATGGACGGGTCCGGTGTCCCAGTTGTTGGCGCACTGGGCCAAAATTGGTTTGAACGGAGGTCGCACGAAGGTGTCCTCTAACCCACCCACACAGCATCCAGAATTGAAAGACCAACCGTGCAAAAAGGAAGCAGCGTGGTGTGCAAGAATCGAGAACTGATTACAAAGAACAGTCCACTTGAGACAAATGTTTCAGCCATCAATGCAGGATTGCAGGAGGACGTGGACACAAGACATTGGATTGGTTCTGGTTGTTGAGTTTGTGCCACCAAACCACTTGATGTTCTATAGTTTGGAGGCCAGCTCCCTTGCTTGCGGCAAGCTACTTACTTGAAAGACCAAATAAGGTCACATTATTGCATGTGTTGGTGATATTTTTGGCATCATTCCATTCAATGGGAGAGTCAGAGTGGCTGGTTTTAAGCTTGTCTTACTTTCCTGACCTGAGTCATTGGAAAAGCTCCAAAGCCAGCAAACAGACCAAACTCAAGCCAGTGTGCGATATGGGTATGTTGACTAGGAGCCTGGCATCGCTACTAGGAGCATGAAGCTACTAGGGGCTCCTGGCCGTACTACTAGGATCAAGGACGCTATTAGGGGCTCGTGCTTGGTCCCAAAGCATTTCAACACGGAACTCCCAAGGTGGCAAACACGCAAACGCGCACCCCTATATGATATGGGACATGTTACTGGCCATTGCTGGGTCTGGTGTTTGCGTTTGTTGCCGTTGTTTTTCTTAAAGCTCGATTTTTTGAAGCGAACCGTTTAATTCAAATGGTTTCGCAAGCACCTCTGAAGTCAGCTTAGATTCGGTCACTTTGACCTGACAAGATTCTCCTGACAATGAGTGGGGGTTGCACCTCAAACTTGAACGTGACAAAATTACAATACCACCTACCACCTCTTATCGTGGTTGTATAACAGCATGTGTACTTGTTCTTGTGTTTGCAGCAAGGAACTGAGGGGACTTGGTCGAATTCGTAGTCTTTTACGTGTTCTTCCAGCTTTCTCTGTGTCGCAAGGCAGGCAACGGGGCTTACTGCAGGTGACACTGGACTTACTGTCGCGTGGCGTGGTTTTTTGTGGGGAGGGCGGAGTAGGCTGTGTAGGAGAGGTAGGAAGCTAGTAGCTGTAGGCTTGGCACACAGAGAGCTCGTAGCTGCAAAGCTAAGAAGAGGTTGGCTACTAGGCGACAGGGAAGAAGAAGAAGAAGCGCTATCGGTTCCTCAAAAAAGCTTTCCTCGCTTGATGGTGGGGAGAGCTTCCTTGAAGAAATGTCCATATGATTGATGGTTTCTACGGTAACGATACCGTAGGTTCGAGAAACTATGAGAAACTCATAGAAACTCAAAGACTTTGCAACGAGTTACCAATTTACTCCCTTTCGCCCCGACAAGCTATGTAGAGATTTGTTTGCGCATCTCGGCATCTCTAGTCGATGACATATTATTGGATGTCATGCTATGTTGCTGTTATGTTGAGTTGTATGTTGTTTTTTGCATGACCCCCAGGAACAAGATGCTACTAGGGGCTCCTGGCATCGCTACTAGGAGCAAGGACGCTACTAGGGGTTCCTGGCCTTACTACTAGTAACAAGGAGCCCCTAGTAGCTTCTTGTTACTAGTAGCGATGCCAGGAGCCCCTAGTAGCGTCCTGCATGCAATGCATTTTGTCGATTCGGCACATCGAGATGTTCGTTCTTCGTTCCGAGCTGCTCGTTGAGGTCTATTTGAGCCCTGCCAAAGAGCTTGATCCGCTGACGATCCTTCCATTGCCACAGCAGACTGTTGGACCTTTTGCTTGTGAGGCCGGTGCAAGCAGCACCAAGCTTTTCTCGTTGTTTTTCGTTGTCCGTTCTAGATATATAGAAATACATATTACTGTATAACAATGTAATTCTATATTCACATATATATATATAATTACGAAACAAAAGCTACTCCGCTTGTTACATGACGTACAGGTTTCTGCACGTGAGGCCTTCGTGGTTCAAAACAGCACGCATGGTAGCGGAGCTGCGAAGGCTGGTGGTCACCAGCTGGAGCTCCAGGAAGTGTTTGAACCCTTGGATAAGGGCGCCCGCGCCGAGCAGACATAGAACTAGTGTTGCACGTTGCTCGCAATCTGCGCCTGTGTCTACGAGAAGCTGATCCTCGAGCGGCTGAGCGCTTGGTGGAGGTGAGAAGCTGCTAGACCGACAGGTCCTGTTCGAGGAGGTTGAGATCGAGTAGAAGGAGAAGATGGACCAGTCGGACATGCCAGTTTTGGCACAAGCTGTCACAGCTGCTGCAAACGCAGCGGCCCAGGCGGCTCAGGCAGCGGCTTCGAGCGGAGGAGCAGCTGGTCCAGGTGCAGAAGGAGCAGGGGGAAGCCAAGGGGTGTTGAAGCGTGATCTAGCAAAGTTGATCCCACGACCTGGTACCTTTAATCCTACTGACAGGGAACAAGAAGTTTTGCAGTGGCGAGATTGGTACTGGACAGTCAAACAATATCTGGTGGTTGTTGATGCAGCATTCCAAGATGAGTTGGAGAAGCTGGAATCCAATCTGACAACAGAGATAGACTGGGAGCTGCTAGATGAGGGTGAACAGCAGAGAAGTCGATTTTTGTACAGCTTGTTGGGGAGTCTGGTACAAGGACGACTGACAGGTGTCATCGTTCAATGGCATGGAAGCACTTCGACAACTGTTGATGAACTGTCAACCTCAGGCGAGAAACAGGACGATGAACCTCCTACAAGGGATAATGTCGTACCCGAGCTTCAACATGAAGAGTTCCTTGCTGCCTCAAACCCTCAAGTTGGAGGAACACTATGTGCAGTATGAGCGCCTTGGAGGGAAGTTATCCCCAGACATGAAGTCGGCGGTGTTGCTCAGAGCGGTTTCGGGTCAGATGAAGACTCATTTGAATTTGACTTTGAATGAAGGAAGCTCATACAGCAAGATCAGGGAAGCCATCATTGCCTTCGACACGGCCACCACCAAGTGGAATGAGTCGGGAGCCCTTACCTTTTCAGGCATGAGCCCAATGACGAATGCAACAGATCCCAACGGTCCAATGCCTATGGAGATTGACCGCATCAAGGGAGACGGCAAGAAAGGCAAAGGAAAGACAAAAGATGGTAAAGGCAAGTCAAAGGGCAAAGAAGACCGACAGAAAAGGGAAAGGAAAAGGTGGCAAACCAAGTGGCAAAGAAGGCAAAGGTAAAGGAGGTGGCAAAGAGAGCAAAGGTGGCAAAGGCAAAAACGCCAATGAAGTGTGTTGGACCTGTGGCAAGCCCGGACACATGTCACGTGACTGTTGGAGGATCAGACAAGTTGAAGCACCAGCAGTCCAGAGCATTGCAGATTCTCACACTACCTCGCCCTCTACCACGTTGACGACGAGTACAACGAGTGGAGGAGGAGGAGACACCAACGCGGGTGCCAAGAATATCAGACGTGTTTCACAACCAGTGATCAGTTGAATTTTTCAACATTGCCTCAGAGGATGAAGAGGAGGATGGTTGCTACCAAGTCAACACCATTGCTGAGACCGAGAGTGAGGAGGAGGTCGAAGAGACCTATGAGACAGGAGAAGAGCAACAGACCTTGAAGGTGATTGTTGACTCAGGGGCGGATGCTTCAATCTTCCCAGGACGACTCATGGGAATGACGAGAAGTGATCAGGTGTGGGGACAGGCCCTTCACTTGCAAGACGCCCAAGGAAAGAAGATCCAGAGTTATGGCAACAAAGATGTGGATATCTTAATGATGACATCTGAGGGCCAATCTGTGGTCTTGAAGGAGAAAGTGACCTTCAGCGACATGGTGAGTCAGCCCATCTTGTCCTTTGGACGCTTGATGAGAAGCGGCTGGTCCATCGATGGCCAAAGGCAGTGCCTGAGGAATGGTAGCCTGGAAGTGCCCTTAGCGTTTCAGAATCAAAGCCTAGTGGTGGATGCCTCGATCAGGGTGGTCACAGAATCCCTGGTGATTCGCACGCTGGCAGTCAGGCTGAATGAGGAGCTGAAGAACATGGCTGGAAGCGGCTATGGTTGGAAGAAGAAAGATGAGTTTTGGGTTTGGGTTGGGCTGCATTTGAGCATGAGGTTCCAAAGCCCACAGTTCATCCCTGGCTTCCGAGATCAAGGAGAAGGGATGCGTCGGACTACCCTGGTGGAGAAGCAGGGCAGTTGGGAGTTGGTCGAGATGGCCGAACCTCTAGATGGTCTAGAGGATCAGGAGGAGGAAGTTGAAGAACTTCGAGAGGTGGGTCTTGGCAAGGTGATGACGTTTGTGGCTCAGGAAGGAACAGTTCCAGAGGTGTTCGGCTTTGAGATTGATGATGCAGTTCAACTTGGTCCCAAATCAGCAGTTGAAGAGCTCGCCATCCCACAAGCTCGAGATGAGGAGATGGAAGAGTTTGAGGGTGTGGACATCCCAGGTGGAGATGACGAGCCCAATCCTGGCCGTGATTTGGAAGAGCAGATGGTGCGCTATGAGATTGGTGTTGCACTTCCAGAGGAGATTCGGGTGAACGAAGTTCCATTGACAGTCGACAGTCCCTTGAAGAATCTGAGAGCTGCCTGCGCTTTCTATAGGATTGGGCAGAGCGGAGGAAAGAGGAAGTGCTTCAGTCGACTGGTGGCCCATCAGGGAGCGCTAGAGTTGATGATGGCCAAGGACTTGGCTAGAGGCCAAGCAATGGGTCAGAGGATTCCTGTGGAGCAGGTGACAGCAAAAGTCCCGACAGAGTCCCTTACGCTCCATGGTGTCCTGCCTGCATCAGGCATCGAGCTCGTCCTGATCAACACAGAAGGACGGGAAAGTCCCATGACCAAGGATGTCCAACAATCTCCTTCGACTTTTGCAAGGTGAAAGCCAAAGGTTCCGGAGCGATTGGAGCAGAAGAAGAGGATGCTGCTCAGGAGGGTGTCCAAGATGATGAGAGTGGAGCGCTGCTGATGGTTGCGTTGTGCTCAGAAACAGGCTCGCTGCTAGGGTTGCCCTTGAAAACGAAGAACCAGATGAACCTCATCACCCACGAGCTGCTTGCATTCACTCAGATCCTAGGACATGAAGCTGTGCAGTATTACTGTGACAACCAACCCACAGCAAGACAGATTGCCCGACTCTTGGAAAACCACAATGAGAACAACAAAGCTCTATGACTCAGCTGGCAACTCTCTGGCTGAGAATGCAGTTCAGAGAGTACGAGGTCTTGCAGCTTTGATGATGGAGAGTTTGGTGGAGAAGATTGGCCTTCGACTCCAGCACCAACACCCCCATGGGCGTGCCGCCATGCTGCATGGACCCTGAACCGCTATCAGGTGCTGAGGGGAACAACAAGCTTTGAGTTGACCCATGGCAAAGCCTATGATGGCAAGATGTGTCCCTTTGGAGAGGTGGTTTTCGCCTATACAAAGCAAAAGCAGGGCTTCAAAGCAGATCCAAAATGGAAGGTGGGCATTTGCTTGGGGAAGACAGAAGTGCAAGATGCATGGGTCATTGGAGATGGAAACAGGGTCTTCCTCAGCAAGTCCATTCGAAGGGTCGCAGATGCCAGTACACGGTACATAGCTTGCTACCAGGGCGCATACTCATGGGAGTACCAACAGAATTTTGGTGGGAGGATCGTTCCATCAAAGAGAGTTGCAACTATGGTTGGAGGACCACTGCTGGGATTGCCATCACCTGGAGCAGGAGGAGAGGCTATGCATGACGAAGATGCCAAGGAGGTCATAGCCTTCTCGAAGTCCTATGCGGGAAAGCTGGAGGAGGCAAAGGACTTGGTGGAAGTGGTTGAGAAGGAGAAGGTTCAAGCCCAGGAGATGAGTGAAGAAGAGAAGATCGTGGAGTACAAGAAGCTGGAGAGAGTGTCAGCCTGCCACCAACCAGAGTCAAGGATCCGAACATGGTTGATGACATGAACAACCAAGCTGGTCCTTCGATGCCTGGCACTACACCGAGAAGCCCAGCACAGAAGAGTAGCCTCAGCGTGACAGGTGATGAAGGAGATGCGAAGAGGTTGAAGTTCACTACTTTCAAGCTTGTGCACGAGAGCGAAGGTGAGAGTTCAGAGACAAAGAGACAGAAGGTTGGAGAGGAGAAACCACATGTCGAGAGAAGAGTACAAGCAACAGAAGTAGGAACTGAGGTGTACTACCACATGGACCAGTTCTTTGGTGAGGAGGAGTTCCTTTCATGGGATGGAGAAGAAGAGGAGACTCCATCAACGATGATTCCCAAAGAGTTGTGGTCAGAAGCTCCCTTGGACCGAATTCCAGCAGATCCGCCAACTTGGATCGATGATCTTGCAGATGAGGTGGAAGAGCAGAGACTCTTGAGGATGGGAGTTCTGGAAGCCATGAAGGAGGAGAAGACAGGTTTCAAGAAGCTGACGACAAGGTTTGTCAGAGATTGGCGAGTCCTCGTCAAGACTTGCCGGATGCTCCCAAACAGTTCCTCAGAAGATCCAGACTGGTTGCTAGAGAGTATGCAGTGGACAGGCGAGATGATGTACACAGCCCAGCAACCGGAGGACAGACGTTGCGTTTATTGCCCATCATCTACCTCATGAAGAAGCTTGAAGAGCGAGATGGAGGTGAGGAGTTCTGGTTAGGTTCGATGGATGTGAAAGATGCCTTCCTCCAAGTACCTCAGGAGGAGCCAACACAGGTGAGAACCGCCAGGGGCTACTATGAAGTGAAACGCAACCTGCCAGGTCAGAGGCTGGGAGCCAAAGCATGGTTTGACTACTTCACGGACTGGTTGAAGAAGTTTTCTGATATCAATCCATGTCTTGGGAGAAAGGAAGACCGTATGATGGTCCTGATCCATGTGGATGATGTTCTCTACCTTGGCAGCAGAGAGTATGTGGAGAAGATCTTCCTGCCTGACATCAAGAAGAGCTTTGACATTTCAGAGCAACACTTGTCAGGAGATGGCACGATCTTTTCTTTCCTGAGGAGGACCTATGTGCAAGTGCCAGAAGGGTTGAAGATCCTGCCAGCCAAATATGCGGAGAACATGATCGAGCAGTACGAATCCCAACTGGGTAGAGCCGAGATCCAGAAGTTGCCATGTGGACCTGAGATGCTCGAGCAAGATGGAACGTCCATGGTGAGTGGAGAGTTAGCCAGCCTCTTCAGATCCCTGGTTGGCTGTGGCATCTACTGACCTGAGGAGAGGATGGATGTGTCCTTTGCAATCAAGGAGTTGGCGTCCTCGACGGCCTGCCCAACAACAGGGAGTTTGAGGAAGCTTGGGAAGCTGGTCGGCTATTTGAAAGTAACAGTTGGACAATACAGTCTCCTTCCGTATCCAGATCCAGGACACGGACATGCCACCAGAACAACTGCTTCAAGATGGCTGCTTGAAACCTTCACGGACAGTGATTGGTCAGGAGCAAAAGGACATAGAAGGTCAACATCAGCAGCAGTGCATATGGTGAATGGCAACGTTGTCTTGGCAAGCTCGAGAGGTCAGAAGTCAGTGTCCCTGAGTTCTGCTGAAGCAGAGCTAAATGCTCTTGCGAGTGGAGCAGCCGACGGGATCTACCTGCGAAGGTGCTTGGAGTTCCGGTGCACATTGTTTGGTAGACAACTCAGCAGCATTGCATTTGTGTCACAGGAAGGGCCCAGGCAAACTTCGACACATTGCTGGAAAATTGTTGTGGATTCAGGACATGGTTGCACAAGGAGATCTTGAGGTCAAAGCCGTAGGAACAGTGGCTAATGTCGCCGACCTGGGCACCAAACCGCAAGCCAAAGCCAGGGTGAACCTCATCCTGCATTGGCGCCAAATCTACAATGGAGGTGGAGAACGAATTGGACAAGAAGAGCATCAACGACTCGAAGAAGGCAATGTGAGTCGCAGCAAGATCCAGAAGCTTGCAAAGTTGCTCAATCGAATCCTGCTGTTAGAAGGCCTTGAGCATGTGGCTGGTGAGCGGGTGAGCATGGAGGAGAATGTCATCGTGACCAACCACAGTCAGTGGCTATGGACCTTCATTGTGGTCTTGATGGTGGTGATTGCCGTGTTGATCTTCGGCATTTACCAGCTCCGGAAGAAGCTTGAGAAAATGGAGACAAGACTTCAACAAGTAGTTGATGATGTGAAGGTTGACGGCATGATGGTGGGAGCCTACGGCCATGAGACGAAGGAAGCAATAGCTCAGGTGAAGAAGTATGTGGAGAAAGTGCATCGAGGCTTGATCAAAGCTTCAGGGTATGTTGACGATGATGTCTCGATGGAAGACTGGAGGCATTGGGACTATACCAACAAGGAGTTTGACATGAGAAGGCTTGACAAGCAGATCAAGGATTACCTTCAGAGAAATGTTGAACAGACGCGTCGACACCTGAACATCCGCGACAACACCTTGAGAGACGAAGAAAGTGAAGAAGGAGAACATGACCCAGATGATCTAGTAGAAGTCAGGCTAGATTCTGGAGAAGTGGTGACAGTGAGAGCAAGAGAGCTTGAACCTCGAGAACCAGAAAGTGAAGATGAAGGACCAGTGCCTATGGAGACAGAACCCGAGAGGGTACCAGATCGAGCAGGGGAAGCGCGTGGCAGTGGCAGCAGAGACTTGGAGCTGGAGGATTTGACCTTGTCAGCACCGACAACGAGGTGGCTCACAGATGCGGAACTGCATGAAGTGAGTGAGTATGACAAGCCAGCCGCCAGGTCTTGCTTGAGGGCCAAGCAGTATTCCCTGCAGTTCGAGAGGCGATGGTTAACGAGCTCAACCAAAGGAATCAGCATGAGTCCAAGATGGAGATGTACTCGAGAATGGAACGACACATGGAGTTTATGGACAGCGACGCGGTTCCTTTTTAGATGAGTGTGGTGTGGGGAGCACAGCTTTAAGCTCACCACACCAAGGAGGAGTACGAAACAAAAACTACTCCGCTTGTTACATGACATGTACAGGTTTCTGCACGTGAGGCCTTCGTGGTTCAAAGCAGCACGCAATAATATATATATATATATTGAATATGTGTTCTTTACTTTTCTCCTTTTTGAAATATTTTGCGGAGAATAAGCAGTGTTTTGATTTGGCTTGGTGATAAGATTTGGCATGTGATGGATAATGACCGGATAGTAAGTGAAGTGGAGATTCCTGAATCGGCCAAGAGGAACACGTTATTTTTGCAAAACACAAGACTTCATCCAAGACCTAATATCGATTTGATAAAGGAAGAAAGTGTGGAGGCCATGGCTAGTAGGTTGGAGTTTTAGGATAAATGATAAATGAGGAAAAAGTTCTTTGGTGGTGGTTTTTGGACAGTTTTGGACATGACTGGTTGTCAGGTTTGCTCTGAGGCCGCTTTGCTGCAGCTTCGGATGTTCAGAGTTTAGTGAGCCTTTTTGCGATTTCATCTATGAAGTGGATGACTGCATGGTTTACTTGATTGTGCTGAGTATGCTTGAAGTTGATTTGATTCGTCATTGAGGTGACCCGCGCATATCTTGGGGTAGAATGCCCGGGGCACATCACAGGCCTTGCTTGCCATTCATGTGTTTGTTACTTCGGTCTGTCCTTTGGTTCTTTGGCCAGGCCTTGTTGGGGCATACAATCCTGGTGACACCGACCCACAGGCTTGGCTGTTTGAAGTGCAAGAGTGTTCCAAATGCACAAAGTGCCACTTCGTGCCACCTGAAGGATCTCAATCAGACAAATGACACAGCCCTACCAGGAAAGTGCCTTGACATCAAGATCCCTTGGAGCATATCCAGGTGTAGTACAAGGTTCACATGCAAGGTATCAGAGCATGCGTTCATGATGACAAGGGCATTTGGGCTTCTTGCGATGGGGCGGTGCCCCGACTTTTCATTCATCTCAGGTGGTTCAAATCTAGTGGCGATGGAGGATTGCTTGCCAATCCTGATGGAGTAGGCCAGCTCAATACACTGGCTTGCAAGGGCTGCTATTGCCTGCGCATTCAGCCACTTTTTACAATTGTCGTCTCCTGGACCCTATTTTTCGTTCAAGGTTGGGTTGTGACCTTGAATGCAGAGAACCTCACTGCGGGGTATCACTACAGGCATGGTGCTTATTGTAAAAACTGCAGCATCATCACCTGTTGTCAGTGACCATTGTTGTTTGACATGGAACAAGCGAGAGATGTACTGTACAAGATCTCGAGAACCTGGCAAAATGAAAGGCAGTAAATGAACAAACCTTCAAAAGAGAAGCATTTATTCAGCCTATTTTAGGAGAATATCGTTTCTAACAATAGGACGCCATCGCTATTAGGTTGGAGGCCATCGTCTTTCTGCAGGCTTTGTCTTGACTTGGATGGCTTCGACACAGCACTGGGCTTTGGAGACACAGGAGTGAAGGTCTCTGTTGTTGCCGAACTCCCTGTGGCACCGGAGCCCGCGCCAGAAATTAATCTGTGCCTCGGACGGCAACAATTCGTTTTTCTATCCATCAAATATCATAAACAAAGTGACATAAAGTGACACCTAAGAGACATAACACTGTATTATTACGTACAAGTGCTAGTATGTGAAACGTTTGACTTGGAAGCAAAGTATACATGCCAATTTGGGACGGAACTTCAAGGTCCAGTGTCAACTCTTCCAACTCCTCGATCTTGGATGCTGATGCAGGACACCTTACCAACGCCTCGCTTACTTTTTCTCAGTGTTTTGTCACTAGTAGCGTCCTTGCTCCTAGTAGTAAGGCCAGGAGTCCCTGGCTCAGTGGAACGACAAAGGAAGAGATGCCAAGAGCAGCTGCGCTAGAGCAGTTTCATGATGTTTGATGTTTGCTAACAGGGTAATGTGGCATTAGAGCTGTTGAAAAGAACGGTTGTACGTTTTGTAGAACGAAGAAACAATATGCAACAATGGACTTAGCCCCCTGGATCCACTTGTTTTGTTTCCAAAGTTCCCTGCTGTGCACC